CCCCGCGGGTCCCCGTCCCTCGGGGAGCTGAGCGGCGTGCCGGCTGGGCGCACCGCGATGGGGGCCTGGTGAGACTGCGGTGTCCCGGTGGGGTCAGTGCCCCACACCGCGGGGCCAGATGCCATGGGGATGGGCCCTGAGAACAAACCTGCCGGCACTGGTCGGACCCACAGGTAGGGGACAAGGGACACCCATGGGGTGTGCCAGGACATGGCCATCAGCAGTGCCCGGGGACACGGGTGTGCACACGTGTGCCCGGACACGCGTGTTGGCCCTGCACACAGGTACCCACGTGCCAGGCAAGCGTGCCACGCGTGTGGCCGGTGTTTGCCGACTGGGGACCTTTGGGCTCCCCAGCGATCGGCTTAACGAGCTTCTCCCTCCGTCACGGCGAAGTGTCCCCGGAGCAGCGCCCCTGAGGTTTGCAGGGTCTGGGCTTCACACTCGACCTCAGCTGGTGCCCACAGCTGGGGTGGGGGCGGGGGCTGAGGGCGAGGCCGGGGGTAATTAAAGCCCAAGGAGCATCATTAAAGGGGGCGAGGGTGCCTGGGGTCCCCTCCCCACCCTGTGCCGGCTCTGCCCCGGCCTCCTGGGTGCTGCTGGGACCGGCCGCAGGAGCAGGTCGCTGGTAAGAGCGCTGAACTCTGTTTTCTTCTCTTGTTTTGAGGAGATGCTGGTGGCTGTGGATTGTGCAGGGCCGCAGGGCTGGGGGTGCTGGGGCAGGCAGGGACCCCCCTGTGCGGTTGTGTGTCACCCCCCCCTTATCCGCACCCCAGTGCTGACCCCTGCACGGGTCCTGGCCAGTGGGGTCCGCAGGGTGCTGCCGGGCACGGTGCGATCTGGGGGGCTGTGGGGTCCCGCCCCACACCAGGGGGGCTGCAAGGTCCGTGGGGTCCCTGTGGGGTGCAGGGGCTTTCCCCAGCACAGTGTGGGAACTGGCTCTGGCACCTTAAGCCCCCCGAGGTCGGCGCCCAGGGAGCCAATCCCGCCCCGCCGCCTCGCTCCTCGCCGATGTGTTTTTAATCGTGAGAGGGGGGAACTTTTTACATCCGCGTGTTTCTCTTGGCCCCCTCGCCTCGCCGGCTGCTGCGCTGGGGGCTGCTCCGGCTCCTGTGGCCCCCCACGCTGCTGCCGCGGCACTGTCGGTGGCACCGGTCGGGGACAGGGACCGCAGGCCAGGCTGGCAGTGAGGTGACTGGGATGAGGACTGGTCGGTCCTGGAGCCATCGTCCCTTGGGGTGGCTCTGCCACCACCCCTGTGGTGTCACTGTCCTGTCACCCTGGGTGTCTGCGCAGGGACAGCAGCGGTGGCCCTCAGAGCAGCCGGTGCCGCGGGCGGGCCCCGCCGTGGCTCCGCCGGCAGCGGGAGGGCCCGGGGGCGGGGTCGGGGGCGGGGGGCGCGGGGGGGC